AAAACTCAACCTGACCCCTGACCCCAACCTTTACAGACAGAAAACTCAACCTGACCTCTGACCCCAACCTTTACAAACAAAAACCTCAACCTGACCTCTGACCCCGACCTTTACAGACAAAAAAACTCAACCTGACCTCTGACCCCAACCTTTACAGACAAAAAACTCAACCTGACCTCTGACCCCAACATTTACAGACAAAAACCTCAATCTGACCTCTGACCCCAACCCTTACAGACAGAAACCTCAACCTGATCTTTGACCTCAACCTTTACAGAAACCTCAATCTGACCTTTGACCTCTGAGCCCAACAATTACAGACAGAAACCTTGACCTGACCTCTGACCTCTGCGTGCAGGTGGAGCGCCTGAAGCACACGGTGCTGAGAGCTGAGAGCCAGACTCGACTGCTGAAACGACGGACCTTGAGGCCGCTGCAGGAGGTACCCAAACATCCGAGGAAAGCCAGTGTCATCACATGCTTTTATTTTGACAGGATTTACACCATACGAGTCAGTGTGTGCCTTTATTTTGATAGGCTTTAGATAAAAGTGTTTTCTTACTCCCAAGCAGCAGAGATAATCACTTAAACTCGTCTTTCAGAGCAGAAACTTGCCTTTGCCGTCAGATGACTTCTGCCACCTCAGTACACTTGAGGAACAGAAGGAAGAGAAGCAGGAGGAGACACAGAAGGAGGAGAAGCAGGAGGGTCGGGAGGAGAACTTAAAGGAGCCTCAGCAGCATCTTCCGTGTCGAGCTTCTCCTCAAATGAACCTCCTCACCACCGTGTTCAGGCTGAGGAGAGAACTTCACAGAGCCGAGGAGCAGAAAACCAAGGTTAGGAGCAGCAGGAGCTGGAGGAGGAACAGACGGGACACAAGATGGGAGGAGGTTCATGGAGTGCAGCAGTGTGAGATTCACTCAACTGCTGCATGCTTTTATTGTGAAAAATCTACAGGAAGTGTTAAGGCTGATTTATAAGAAAGGCTGGTGTGATGCGTTCTGGGGTGATGTAGTTTCTGGAAGTCTTGCTTGTGTTTCACTTGACATGTGATGTGTTCAAGGACATAATTTGGTCATTCTACATGTGATGCCTTCGAGGACATATGCAATTAAATGATTGTCTGTGTAGTTTTAGGACATTGCAGTTTAGTTTCAGGTTGTTTCAGGCGTGATGGATTCAAAGGCATGATATGTTTCAGGTTATTTTATTTGTGATGTGTTCAAGAGCTTGTGTAGCTTTATGATGCATTCAAAGGAATTTCAAATGTAAGGACCGTTTAACTGTAATACGTTAATGAGGGAATGCACCACGATGTATTCAGGGACATGTAGTGTTTCGGGACGCTTGTCATTATTAGGGCCATACAAGGTTTTTATGATGTTATTCATGTGATGTATTAAATATATATATTATAGAGACATATGATGCATTCAGGGACATGCCATTTAACTATTTAAATGCAACACAGTCAAATTTATTTTTAGTTCAGGACTTGACAATTGTTGGTTTTCGCGCGTGATGCATTCAAGTGCAGGAGTAATTTCTGGACATTGCAGCTGTTGCAGGGTGTTTCAGGAATGATGCATTCAAGAGTTTGTCAAATTAAAGGACATTTAGATGTGATGCGTTAGTGGAGGAGGTGTAGTTTTAGGGCATTTTTTATGTGATGCATTTAGGGACACATGTTGCTTCAGAATGTTTTCACAAGATGCTTTCAGGGCCATGTAGGGTTTTATGGTGTTTGTATGTGATGCATTCATAAACACATGTAACTATGGATGCATGTGATGCATTCAGGGCCCAGTGGGATCAGTCGTTGCTTTTCTAACCAGTTGTTTGTTCCAGAATGTGGAGGCGAGGGAGGAGCTGGACCTGCACTGCGCTCAGCTGAGAGGAGACGTCAAGATGTACCGCCAGCAGAGCAAACAGACGCTGCAGCAGCTGGAGGAGGTGGTCCGAGAGAGAGACAAGGTGAGGAGGAGCGGGAGGAGCAGGAGGATGGAAGTGCCGTGACCTCTGACCTCTGGTTGGTTTTTCAGGCTCTGGTGTCTCAGGCGCAGCAGCAGGAGGAGGCACGGCTGCTCCTGCAGGAGAAGGATCAATACCGGGAGCGCGTCAGGCATCTCACTGAGAAATCCGACAAGCTGGAGCTCCTCCTGCTGAGGTCACAGGGGGAGGAGCTACAGCTGAGGACACGACTCCGCAAGATGACCTACAACTCCCAACAGGTAGGGAGGGAGAGGAGGAAGGTAAATGTGATGAAGATGATTTAATAATGAAGTTTTCTCCTTCAGTTTGGGAGGAGCGTGAGCAGCGAGGAGGAGGAGCCCACTGAGAGCGCCGCTAAAGGTCAGTTACCTGAATTTTTTATGATATGTGACACCTGAGAACCAGTCAGAAGTATTGCATGCAGTCCACGGTGCCCAGGTGCTCATGTCACCTGTCGCAGGAGGTGATGTCACGGTAAACGGACGTGAACTGGTTTCATGGGATTCTGTGCCCTGTTTTGTGTCTTTCAGGCAGCAGTGAAGAAGTTCGCAGTGGAACATCAGGCGAGAACGAGGAGGCGGCCACTCAGCAGCAGGAGCACAGTCCTCCTTTAGGAGGAACCAATGAGACCGAGCAAAGGCCCAACAACACTGCACCATGGGTAATGTTCCACATCAGTACCACACAAACATCTGCTGTCTCCATTAATGACTCTGGTGGAGCTGAACATCAACTCAAGACGATGATGTCACAACCAGCAATGTGGTCAGGAGAACAAGTTTTAGATTCATATAACCTTCCAAACATGAGGAGAACACTTGTGAGGAGAATATGTATGAGAACACCTGTGAGGAGAACATCCGTGAGGAGAACACGTGTGAGGAGAATATGTATGAGGAGAACACCTATGAGAACATGTGTGAGGAGAACACTTGCGAGGAGAACTTCCGTGAGAACACCTGTGAGGAGAACACCTGTGAGGAGAACACTTGTGAGGAGAACACCTGTGAGGAGAACACTTGTGAGGAGAACACCTGTGAGGAGAACACTTGTGAGGAGAACACCTGTGAGGAGAACACTTTTGAGGAGAACACATGTGATGCAACTTTTTGCTGATTGGTTGAAATTGTGTCACTGGACAGGGATTGGCTAAATGTATTCAGCTCACTTCAGTTTATTCTTTTATTACACAACAAAACTTGTCTTTTACAATAGAACCAATCAAAAATAAACATCCTTGGATAAACGTTTATAATAAACAACAACAACAACATCAAAAATCGGAGCAACGGACCAACAGTCAGTCCTAAAGGATTCAAGGTTCTTTATTGTCGTTCGCATCACATGTGGTACATGAGGTGGAACAAAATTATGTACACAGGTCCCAGTTACATCCAACAACAGCAAAAATATAAAGTGTAAAAAGAAACCGTAAATAAGGATCTGAGATATAAACGAAGATATACGATAAATGAACGCCCAACGCTAAACTAAACTAAACTAACTTCAGCTAAACTAACTTAAACTAAGCTAACTTAAACTAAACTAACTACATACTGGGTGTGTATTGGGTACTGACCCTGTACAAATTTGGCAGGTACTGGGTATGTAACCAGAGTAACTGTAACAAACTCATAAAGTACTATGTTTTGGATAAGTACCAGGTTGTACTTTGTTCTGCTACCTTTTTTGAATGAACTCCGGTAGTTTCATTGAAACTACTCACTCAATGTTCTGAGAGGAGACCCGGGTCAGACCCAGAACATGTCTGGTCTGGGACACATGGAGCTCCACCAGGAGGAGCTGCAGACAGAAATGTCTGGGTTTCCTTCTGGACCGGCTCCTGGTGCTGAAGGGCAGGTTCGATGTCTCAGTCTGGGACTAGATGGACGTTAGTGGTCCACATCCAGAGGACAGGGTGGGTCAGGGTGCTGTGACATGAAGCTGAAGTGCTCCAGGTGACCCGACAGGTGAACTCTTCTCCTCCTCGTCTTCATCAGAATTTGCTTTCTCTCTGCAGGAAAAGCAAACGGACAACTTCATGTCCTCCTCGAGTCAGCCAAACTTCTTTTACCGCAGGTGAGCATCGGCTTCTGAAGAACTTTATTTAAAACCTCTCGCTGCAGCGCTGACCCACCTGAGGGGGTGTTCTTGTTTCCATGACAACAGGAAGCGAGCCCTGAGGTCAAAGTTCAACGGCACGGAGTACGCATGCGGGACCCTCGACGACAGCAGCGGCAGCGAGATCACCGAGTCCGACTGAGACCGAGTCCGACTGGTCTCATGATGAGTCTGAGGGATCAGACTGGAAACTGATGCTGGAGGAGTAAAAAACTCCCATGATTCTTTGCTCCTGTTCCGACCTGTGGTGCAGGTTTAGGAACTAACGTTTGTCTCACCTGGTGTTTCTCAGCAGGGAACAGATGTTCAACATCTGTTTCAGTAACATGTCACATCTTTTTGTTCCTTTTCTCTAATCAGCTCTGATGGTTTTATTTTCCGCTTCAAACCAGATTTATTTGTTGCGTTTCAGAAAATTAAAGTTTGTTTCCGTGGCTCAGAGGACGTCTGCAGGCGCTCGGTGGGTTTTGGTCCTCGGACGTTCACGAGACTTGAGTTGCTCCATGGAACAAACAAAAGTCTGCAGAAGTTAGACGGCAAACACGGAACAGACAAATGAAAAGAGTGAGACTCGATATTCAGAACGTAGACGTAGACCACAGGTTGCTGCGGTTCCTCATTTTAGAATGGGCACTGAGAGAAAACGTTGTTGTTGTTGTTGTTGTTGTTGTTGTTGTTGTGAGTGGTCGTTTCTGGTGCTGTGAGGCAAACTGTCCTGCTGGATCCAAGAGGATGTTATCAGAAATAATCACTGAGAGGAAGAAGAGCTTTTATCTTTAATGTTTAGGAACAACAGCACACGAACGTCGGCTCCGCAGGTTTTGTAGCAAACTATAAATCTGAAGACAAACCTGCAGAGTTCACGTCCACAAACAAACACGTTTATAAACATTCATCTTAAAGTTGGTTTCATCAAACTGGCTCTGAAGTTAAAAAGAACAGAATCTTTGAATAAGAAAAACATTTAAATTAATAAAACAAATTTTCTCATGTCTGTTGTGAAATGTTTTCTTTCAGCGGCTTTAAAACAAATAAACAAACAAACAAACAAAAACGAGCTGCGTCCCTGAGCATTAAAGAGCGTCTGAATGTGGATAAATGAACAAACGGCAGGAAGTTCTTCTTCTTCTGTGGTTTATCAGCGGCAGTCAGGTGTGTGTGTGAGACGGATGTGTGTCAGAGTGTGTATCTGTTGTCTCCAGTGTGAGTTCCAGCTTTGCTCTTCACTCAGGTGTCTCTGTTTGTCCTCGTCCAAACGAGACGTCTCTGACCGGAGCAGCTGCTGGAACCGCTGACACACACACACACACACACACACACACACACACACACACACACACACACACACACACACACACACACACACACACACCCTAGC